CATGGAGAGGGAGAATCCTGTGCAGTGTAGGGAGGGAGAGCAGTCAGAGTGCTGCCAAGACAACCGGACAGGCGCAGGCGTAGGGGCAGGGGCGGCCGAGGGAGGTAATGGTGGAGAGAGGGGGGACATGACCAGTGGCATGGCTGTGAATGGATCAGAGGATAGGGACGGGATGGCTGGAGCCGCAGGGCTGTCAAGTGGAGGGTTGGGGAGGGAATTCGGGACAACGGGAACGGGAGGGGGAGCAGGGGGAGGTGGGGGATCGGGAATGGAAGGGAGTGGAGATGGTGGGTTGTCATCACCGATAGTGGCGGTGACAGAAGCGCTTTCTCTTGCTGCAAGGAGTCTTGTCACGCAGTTGCTGCCCGGGCAGGGTAGAGGGGAGGGGGAGGGACAGCAACGGCAGGATTCCACAACAGCAGGCCAGCAAGAAACGCAGCAGCAGCAGCAGCAGCAGCAGCAGCAGCAGCAGCAGCAGCAACAAGAGGAACAAGAGCAAGGAGAGCAGCAAGGGCGAGAGGAAGCAGAGCGGCAGGGGGGTGCGGAGAGTGTAGATAACGCAGGCGGTCTGAGTTGAGAGGTTTCTGCTTGTGTATTAGATTAGCCATTCTTTTGGTGAGTCAATTATGTGTGTGAAGTCTGTCATTGTGTGCTTACAACTGCTCCTGTGTGCTTGCAGTTGCAACCATCCCCTGTGTGCGCGCAAGGGTCCCAATATCGCTCAATCTGATCCGCTAGCCCAGCTGTTGCTCTTGTACTAAGCTAATCTCCCCACATTTCCCTTCCTCTCCTCCCCCCTCCTTTCCCTTTTCTTCTTCTCCGTCTGTCAGCAGGAGGAGCATCAGCAGTGTCCTCCCCTGCGAGTAGCACATTAGGAGTCAACTGGTGGTTGGCTAGGCCTGGCTGCCGGCTGCAAGTACCATAACAGTATCCTGGCAGCAGTACTGCCCACCCGGAGTCCACTAGCTCTGTATTTTGAGCCGCATCAAAAATCGTCCTGGCAGCACTCCTACACACCCACCCTGGGTCCATAAGTATGGAGACTACTCCCCATCCATCCGATGCGCGTTTCTCTGCCTGCAACGCATGCGCGAATCGGACACACTCCATCCATCCCACAGCTCCTGCCCTGGCCACAGCGGTGTTTTTGCGCAGTCCTCAGTGAGACCCGGGCATGCACATGCATGCTCCTTCTCTCAAGCGGTCCGTGTATTAGATCCGAGCGATTACACACATTCTCCTTTTCTCTCGCGCTTAAGTGTGCATGTGCTGGTGGTGCAGACCCTTCCCCCCTTTCTTTGTGGCATACCATGGCCCGTTTCTGCTAAGGGGGTTCCGGGGACTCAGGCGCAGGCAGAAAGGAATTACTCAGGCAAGGCAAGGCATCATGGTGCTTTGCTTTCACTGTGATGTGGTGGCTCCATTCCATTGGTTCGTGAACGGCCCCATATTGGGCCGTGCTGTGCACCTGCTTTTGGCACTCTTTGGATGAAGATTGGCCTACCGTTTTTGACTGGTTTGCACCAGTCACCATCACCATCCCTGCCAGCCACCAATGTCATCATCACCATCACCTCCACTGCCTTCTCCATGGGTTGGTCAGCGACTCATCGGTGCTATCACCATCAAGAATGCGAGATCTGATCAGCCTGTCTTCTAGTACAGCTGCCTCTGCTGTCTCTGCTGCTGTTGTTGTATGATACATACATGTGTTTGGCTTGCATCATTCTACCAGTACTAGTTAGTCATAGCACAATGCTGGTCCAAGTCACTGTTATTATTATATTTGTCTGTCTGTTCCTCTCCCCTATTTCCTGTCCTGTCCTGTCCCACATTTCTGTTCCGGTTGAGGATTGGACATGTAAATAGAACATATAGGGCCCTAAGAAATCTGCATATGTGTAATTTATTTCGGTCACTTGTCTTCATTTTGTAGAAATTATGTTTCTAAATGTTGTCTTCATTTTGTATAATTATGTTTCTAAATGTTGACGAGACTTCTTATAGAGAAGACAACCCAAAGCCTGTCTTCCTTTTTGTTTCACAGGCCTCAATACCACAGGCTGCTGATCCAAATCCAGCAACTGAGCATTGAGCAAGCACAGACCAATTCCACAACCCATCGTTTGCTCAGCCAGCGCGACAATCCCTGGAGAGAAAAGCTTTTCATGGGGGTGTGAGTTCGTTTTACGAAAGCCTTCCGCAAACAGTGCGTCTCCTCTCTCCAGTCTATGAGTGAGTAACAGGCAGGATATCATATGCCAGCCCGCGTGTTGCATGATGTGATAGTGTGTGTGATGGCTGGACTGTTGTGTGTGCTTCGATGAAACCATTCGTCTGATGGCATGAAATGGTGGGTCTGACCGCAGTAGATGGGGTGTGTGATGGCACGGGATGATATGTGTGAAAATACGGGATGGTATGTGTGAAAATACGGGATGGTATGTGTGAAAATACGGGATGGTGTGTGTGAAAATACGGGATGGTATGTGTGAAAATACGGGATGGTGTGTGTGAAAATATGGGATGGTGTGTGTGAAAATATGGGATGGTGTGTGCTGGCGTGGGTCATTGTGTGCGATGGGTTTGGATGATAACGGGCGCCATGTTATGAAATTGAATGCCTTGACACGATCATCAGATGCATGGAATAGTGGGTGGCATCACCGTGATGCATGGATTAAGACTCAGTCCAACCATTTTTTGACCACTCATAGCCTTCTTCTATTAAAGCTCAGCTAGTCTGTCTATCATGGAATAGTTTTCTTCAAGTGAATGTGTACATGAAGAATATCGGTACCTTACGATATATTATTTACAGGTGCTGCGAGCGACCCTACTCGTCGTCATTAATGAACTTCCCTGTACCGGGGTTGATAGCCGCGATGAAGAAGAACGCGATACTGGCGAGAAGCAGCGGCTCCACCTCCCAAACAGGCAAACCAGTCTCGATATTCAGCTGCGCCAGCGCGCCTCTCCCAGTGATCACCTCACCCACCAAGCTCGCCGCAAACCCCAATTGCGCCATGCGCCCCACGAATAGCTCGTTCGCCTTAGTAAACTATAACAGCGGCCCGTCCTCGCTCAGCCCTAGCGCCGCCTTGAAACTCCCCGGCTTCACCGGCGGACCCGCCGGCGCCTCGTCGTCGACGAAGCGCCCGCGGTCGCCCAGCCCACCGATCGCGCCGAGCACGGTGAAGGCGATGAAGAAGAGGAGCAACGGCTCGGCTTCCGTGATGGGGATGCCGGTTTCGAGGTTCAGTTGCGAGAGGATTCCCTGCCCGGTTACCGCTTCGCCGAGCAGCGATGCGGCGAATCCGAGCATCGCCACGCGCCCCACGAAGAGCTCGTTAGCTTTCGTGAAGCCGAAGCCGCCAGATGTGCCGAATATGCCGTCTTCGGTGCGTGATTACTTCTTAACGGGGGCGGTCTTAGCGGGGACGGCGGCTTTGTTGAAGCCAAGGAGCGCAGTAACGCCAAGGCCGCGGGGGGCGACGGTGGGAGGTGCTACTGCCAGGCGCTGAAGGAGATGGCAGCAAGAGACTGGTGTGCGACCAGGGAAGAAGCCATTGCGATAGGATATAGAGTCGAGGTTGTGGCTGCGTGGTATGTTTGACAGAGAAGGAAGTCGAGAGAATCAGTAGATAAAGGTCTGTCACAGAATTTTGCTATGAATCGGAAAACGAGATGGCGTGAATTTATTTGTTTGTCAAGCCGCGAATTGACATTGACTGTGGAGTGGACGGGAGCTGGATACCAGAAAGGGAGAAGAAATTCATCGTGAGACGTGGCTGCCTAATCGCGGTACCACGGTGGATGTTCGCTAAATTGCTCGACGGATTCTGGGACGGAATCCAGATGCGTGGCCTTTCTACTGCCACCAATTTTGGAACACGTCAGATCTCACAAGTGATGGGCTGAAAGGATATGACGTGTCGCCAGGAACCTTTTCCAGAGCATCGCTGGTATTGACCATCTGTGACCCCAATTGCTGGACGCAATGAATTCACAAGCATCCCCCTTTCTGTGCATTCCTGTGCACTGAAAAAGTACATGAACACCATCACAGAAGAAATGGGGACAATAATTTTCCTATCAACAGTACAGTACCGGTTTGTTCCAACTACGTATCTTTCACACACAGAACCAGGTGTTAAGGCCTTAACAGCCACTTTACAAGAACGTACTCATGATAATAACAAAATTAGCGAGAGGTTCAGCAGCAACCAGCTACTCGTACACCCAATTTAGAGCAGTGAACATGGCAACCCACCCGGTTAAATAATACCAGATCTCCTATGAGAAGCTAAAACTCAATCATATCTGATGCAGGGCTGTGACATGTGCCTTGGTTAGGTTGGACAGTGCTTCACGAATCATTACGCATCGTTCTGAAGGGAGCAAAGGGGATTAGGAAGCACAGGGTGGAGACGAAGACGAAGGGCAGGGAGTGCAAGGCAGGGGTGGGGAGGGAAAAGACATGGGAGGGTAAAGGGGAAAGGAGGAGAGGAGGGGAAGGGCGATAAGTGAGTGAATGGGAGGAAGGGGGTTTGAGATGGAAGGGGGAAACGTCAACCACAGATACGCATGGCAGCGAGGGGTGTGTGAAAGGAGGACAACATGGTTTACCGTACCGTAGCTTCACGATGAAGCCAACCTGTTCTACCCCTCCCACCACCACACTCCCACCCACCACCACACTAACCTCCCCCATACCCTGTACCCTCACCCCTCCTTCCCCCCTAAACCCCAAACTCTGGCCAGCCCTGTCCCAGCTCTCATCTCAGCCCTCCCAGGCACCTCTCTCTTACTCACCCAACCACCGATCTTCTTCCTACCACCACCCGTTCAGCGCGCCTTGGCACTCTCACCCTACCACCCCCCAGGCACCCCTCTCACGTTCTCACAAACGCACCTTGGCTTTGGAGCGCTGGCAACGCGGCATGAGCCCTTCAAACACTGCACTGCCCCACGTTTGAGAATTCTCATAAGTGTATCTCTTACACACGCACCTTGGCTTTGGAGCGCTGGCGGCGCAGCATGAGCCCTTCAAACACTGCACTGCCCCATGACCCCTTCCGCCTGCCCGCCCGCCGCTGCTCGTTCAACTCCTTTCCCACCACTCCCCGCCCCGCCACCACCGCTTCCCCAGGAGATCCCCACCCTCCATTTACCGGCGCTTCCCCATGCCCTTCGAAACTCCCCATAGCACTCCCTGTGACAGTCCGTGTAACACTCGTTTCCCCACTCCAACCCCGAGACTTCCCCATCCCTGCTGTTGCCTCGCCGCCACCATCAGCCCTGTCTTTCCAGCTTCCTGGCCTTTGTTTTCCCCCCGCCCTTGCGAACCCTTCACCCCCACCATCTACCCCGCTGGCATGTCCCTCCCTTTCCATCATACTCTGCGCCATTTCCCCTCCTCTGCCTTTTCCCCTTCCACCCCCTCCTCCTGTTCCTCCTGTCTCTGCTGAACCCAGCTCTCCGCCCATTCCTCCCATCCCAAACGCGCCAGCAGCACCCACAGGAGCAGACGCCTGCCTATCTTTGGCAGAGAGACGCCTGGGCATGTCTATTCCCAGGGCAGCAGGGGCAAAGGGCAAGGGCACGCACCCAGGCCCGCAGAACAGAAGCATGCGGTGCTGGAGCAGGGGCGAGAGGGGCGGGGTGAGAGGCGATAGAGGCGCCTCCGAGTCTGCTTGCTGCTCCTGGCGGGCAGGAGAGCCAAACTCCGAGCCCTCTCCCTGCTGCTGCTGCTGCTGCTGCTGCTGCTGCTGCTGCTGCTGCTGCTGCTGCTGCTGCAGGTCTGTAATCATGGTACCGTCGCTTTCGGCGAGAACAGACACGTTCGTATCCTGGCCATCGAGCCACTGCCCCATGCTGCCTGCCCTAGCACTCCCTCTGGAAACAGCAGCACCAGCAGCAGCGGTTGTGAGAGGCGGCGCCTGCTTGACCCCTTGCGCATGCACACCTGCTGTTGCTCCTCCTGCTGCTGGTGCTGCTGCTACTGCTCGTCCTGCTGCTCCTCCTCCTCCTGTTCCTCCTGCTCTTACTGCTGCTGCTGCTGCTGCAGCGCCTCCTGCCGCAGCTATGGGCGCAGCCCTGAAGGAGCAGGAGGAGGAGGCGGCACTAGTGAACGAGTGAGGCCGAGGGGACACAGGCGTGGGAATGCGGGGCATAACAGCAGAGGCATGGAGTGTGGGCAGGCCACGTGTCCCTGTGGTGAGTGCGAGAGAGGGAGTAGCTGCTGCTGGTGATCCAGATAAGAGGCTGGTGGACGCCGTCAGGGCAGCCCCCGCAGCAGCCAGCAGGATCGCAGGGCTGGCAGGTGGGGGATGGAAAGACGGAGTCGTGGCAGGAGCAGGAACCGGAAAGGGGACAGGATGGTGAGTGGAGAAATCAGGGTGGTGGTGCGGCAGGTGGGGCTGGTGCGGCTGCTGGTGCGGCTGCTGGTGGAGCTGGTGGAGGTGGTGGTGCAGGTCGGATTCGTCTTCCTCACTATCGCTGGGAGACGAGTTGTCAATAATGAGAATCTCTGATCGTACTGGTGGTTCCTCCACCTGCTGTGGCTCGATCATGCCAGCATACACCTGCTGCTGCTGCTGATGATGATGATGCTGATGATGATGATGGTGCTGGTGCTGCTGCGGCTGCGGCTGCGGCTGGTGGTGGTGGTGGTAATGGTGATCTGCAGGATGCATCTCCGCTCCCACCTCATGCCGGTGCCTCTCATGTGATACCAGCGCCCTTTCTCCCGGCTTGCACGGGCTGGAGTGCTGAAACTCAAACGCCCCATCCTCCCTCCCGCCCTCCCCGTCCCCACCCTGCGCCCCACCCACCCCCCCACTAAGCCTCCCACTCAGCTCCCTCCTAAACTTCCTCAGAGAAACCTCCAGAGGAGGGGACGAAGGGCCTCCTGTGCGCCGCCACGCTCTCTCCACCTCTCCCTCCAGGTCACTCCCCATGTGGGACAGAGGCGACCCTGACGTTCTGTGGGACAGGGGCGAGCCTGACAAGCGCTGCGAGAGAGGCGAGCCGGACAGGCGCTGGGAGAGAGGAGAGCCGGAGGTTCTGCGGGAGAGAGGCGGGGAGAGGGGGGCTTTGAGGGGGAGAGAGGAGGCTGAGGCGTGGGGGGGGCGGGGGGAGAGAGGAGAGCCGGAGGTTCTCCGGGAGAGAGGCGGGGAGGGGGGTGCTTTGAGGGGGAAAGCGGAGGCTGGGGCGTGGTAGGGGCGGGGGGAGAGGGGCAGTGCGCGGGAGGAGGAGGGCTGGGGGCGGGGGGAGGAGGGGAGGAGGTGAGGGGTAGTGGGGCCTGGGCGAGGGGAGGTGGGGAAGTGGCGTTGCTGCAGGGGCGGGGAGCTGAGCCGCAGTGAAGGGGCGTGTGCGGTTGGGAGTGTGCTTAGTGCGCTTTCTCTTGCTTGACCTCTGGAACCAGCACCACCACGAGCAAAGGCGTTCATAGCAGCATCAGAGCCACTGCCACAACTACTGCCAGCACTAGCACTCCCAGCAGAACGAGCAGGCCCAGCAGCAGCAGCAGCAGCAACCCCATCATCATGACGACCCCACCACCCATCCGGATCCTTCCACTCTGCCGCTTTCCCCCTCCCTCCTGCTCCCCCCCTGCCATCCCGCCGCGGTGTCACCAGCGCCTGCCACCCGCCTTGCTGGCCGTGGTGCTCCTGCTGGTGGGCATGGGCGTGACTAAACGCCACACTATCCCGCCCACCCGCCCCGCGGGCGGATAGAGGCCCCATCAGGTACCCCACTCCCCCTCCTCGCGCCCCTCTTCCCCAGAAGTCCTCCTCACTGTCCCCCTCCTCTCCCGCCGTCCCCCCTGCATTGTCCTCCTCCTCCTCCTCCTCGTTCCCTCTCCCCAAGCTCTGTCCATACCGCTCCGCGTTTCTCGAACCTCTCCCCCCGCGGCCTCTCCCCATGTCTCTCACCCCCTGTCCCGGCAGCTGCAAGGGATTCACTCTCACTATAGGCCGCCCTGCCTTGCCTCCTGCCCACTCTCTCCCTGCTGCACCACCAGCAGCAGCACCAGCAGCAGCAGGACCACCAGCACCACCAGTAGCAGAGGTAGGGTTGAAACCAAGAGTCGCTCTAGGAGAGGCGAGGGCTAAGCCCCCTTGCCGCGGCACAGCAGGTCTGGGGGATGGTAGCGGGCCCGGGAGAGAGGAGGACGGGGGGAGGAGCACAGGGGGTGAGAACACACCTGCTTGGACGGTTGAGGGAAGGGAGGAGGAGGGCGGGAATTGAAACTGCTGCAGCTGGTTGGGAGTGAGGGAGCGGGGAGATGGGAGAGAGGCCGAAGAGGAGTGAGAGAGGGAGTGAGAGTGAGAGTAGGAGTGAGAGTGAGAATTTGAGTGGGGAGAGAGGGAGGAGGGGTTTGGGGGGGGTGGGGAGGCGGTGTGTTGCTCGGGAACGGTGTCTGGGAGGCCTGAGAGTGTGCGTGTGCGGCGGGTGGGGGGAAACACACTGGGATGATTGGCACGAGGGGAGGGAATCAGGTGGTGGGTTAGAGGCATGGAGAGGCATGGAGAGGGCGAGTGGGAGGAGCGTGGGGACTGAGACGGGGAGGGAACGGAATGGATGGAGTAAGGGAGAGAGGATTTCGACCGGTTAGGAGGGAGAGATTGGGGTGTGTGAGCGGGGTAGGAGGAGCAGGCAGGGTCATGCGGTGCAGAGTGCTGTTGTGGCATGTGCACGGCACAGCTGCTGCCACTGCCGCTGCTGCTGCTGCTGCCTGTGCCATACTGCTGCGACTGTGCAACCACTCCCCATGACCGCGTGCGACCAGGCCCTCCTCTCACACCCGCCCCTGCCCCTGCCACTGCTGCACTCGCACACCCCGTGCCATGCGCTCCCATTGCCCCGCCCACGCCCCCGCCCACGCCCCCGCCCATCGTGCCCCGTGTGCTGATACCCCCCATGCCTCCGCCCATGCCCCCAGAACCTGTGCCAGGCATGGCGTGCTGAGGCATGCCCCCTGGGCCTGTCACAGACACCTGGTTCAGCAGCCTCTTTGGCACGCTCCTTGCCTTTCGGAACACCGCCTCCCTCTCGCCACGCTGCTGCTGCTGCTGCTGCTGCTGCTGCTGCTGCTGCTGCTGCTGCTGCTGCTGCTGCAGCTGCTGCTGCTGCAGCTGGTACTGTTGCTGGTACTGCCGCTGCTGCTCATAATGCTGCTGTTGCTGCAACTCTCGCACACGCCCACTGCCAGCACCCACTGTGCCAGCGCCCTTGCCCCTCCCCATGCCCATGCCTGCCGTCACACCCTCCCTTCTCCCCACCCCACAATGCGCCCTCTCTGCTCCATGATCGTGTGGTGGCATCTCTCCCCCATGTCCCCCATGTCCCCCATGTCCCCCATGTCCCCCATGCCCCCCATCCCCCTCATCCTCCTCCCATCCATTCAATTCGACAAAATCATCCTCCTCCTCCTCCAAACTCCGTTCCTGCCACGTGTGCGAGCTACTGCTTCCGGGCAGCCCGAAAACACTTCCAGCTGCCCAGCCGGGTTCAGGCTCGGCCGTGGTATCGTGGTTGCTGTCTGTCCATGCCCGGCGAAGGGGAGGGAGAGACCCTGACCGCGGGTACTGTTGCTGCTGCTGCCCCTGCTGCTGCGAGTGCTGATGCTGCAACTGCTGCTGCTGCTGATTCTGTTTCTGCTGCTGATGCTGCTGCCAAAGCGACACCCCTGCTGCTCCGCCTCCTGCTGCTGCTACTGTCTTATGATGGGCCCCACGAGGGGACAGGGAAACCGTGTGGTGCAGTCGCTGCTGCTGCTGCTGCTGCTGATAGTCCATTCTTCCCGCAGCAGAAGCAGTAGCAGCAGCATGGGGGGGAATAGAAGCGAGACCGGTAGAGAGCGCGAGAGAAGGAGAGGAGGAGAAGGAGCGTGGGAAGGCAGCGCCACGGGGAGCAGAGGGAGCAAAGGCCATGGGACTGTGTGCCCAGGGCAGCTCTCCTCTCACCAACAGACGCACCGGCTCCTCCTCTTCCTCCTCTCCCCCTTCCCCCTCCTCATCCGCCCCTTTTCCCTGCAGTTTCCTCCCTCCCACCCCTCCATCCCCTCCTCCTTTTCCTCCTCCCCCTACTCCTACACTACCACCCTCCTCACTCGCATCCTCCCAATCGTGCCCTCCTCCCTCCCTTCCCCCCTCCTCTTCCCAAAACTCCTCTCCCTCATCGTCCTCTTCCTCCTCCTCCTCCCACACGGAATGTCCCCCTCTCAGCCTGCTGCTGCTGTCCCCCAAGGGGCTTCTGGGGACGCTATCCCACACGCGGGACCGCTGAGGCGCGCTGGAAGCTTTAGATAGGCGCCGGGAAGCAGAGGCGGAGGCGGAGGCGGAGGGGTGTGGGGGGAAGGAAGGTGCGCGAGGGGGGAGCGGGGCAGGGGGGTGCAAGGGGTGGGAGGCGCGCCGAGCGGCGGCAGGAGGGGCGGGCGGGATGGCTGATGGGGAATAGGGATGGGGTAGAATGTGTGGTGGTGAGGGTAAAGGTTTGCTGTGTTGGCAGGAGTGCGAGGAGGAATGGGATGCCATGTGCTGCTGCTGTTGCTGCAACAGCTGCTGTTGCTGCTGGTGATGGTGGGGGTGGTGGTGGTGGTGAGGGTTGTTACTGTGGTACGGGCAGCAGGAGGGGTGCACTGGCGGAGACGAGAGAGCAGCAGGCAGAGGAGCAGAGAGAGAATGCGGGAAGGAGGGGGGCGCAGCAGAAGCAGCGGAAGCGGAGCAGGAGCAGGGTGCATGAGGTGGGAGAGAGCGCGGAGAGCAATCAGGGTGGGAGGGAGGGGGGTAGTGGTGACAGCCGCCTGCAGCACAGCACACTTGGCCTGCTGCACCGCATTGCTGCTGCTGCTTCTGCTGCTGCTGCGGCTGTGGCTGCTGATGATGATGCTGCTGCTGCCGCTGCTGCTGCGAGCTTTGGTGGTTCTGGTTGCGGTGAGAATCACCCTCCCTCTGCCTCTCCTTGCGCCTCTCCGCCTGCCATTCCTCCTCTAGTTCCTCCAGCACCTCTCGCTGCATCTGCTGCACTTCCCAGCTGCGCTGCGCCACACTGTGCCCGAACCACCCGCCCGAACCAGAAACGCCCGAACCAGAAACGCCCGAGCCAGAAAGACCCGAACCTGAAAGCGCCCCGTGTGATTCCTCGCCGTCACTAGAGAGATAATCACAGCCGTCGCTTGGTGCACGAGCACTTGTAGTAGCAGCCGCTGACCCGAACTGCTGTCGCTGCTGCTGCTGCTGCTGCTGCTGTTGCGGCTGCGGCTGCTGCGGCGGCTGGCGCTGCTGCAATGGCGGGTGCGCTAAGTGTGTGTGCTGCACCCGTTGCTCCGATTCCACAGCCGCAGGCCGCAGCTGCAGAGAGCGAGGGTGCAGCGGCGAGTGGGGCGAGGAGGACGAGGAAGGGGAGGAAGGGGAGGAAAGGGAGGAGGGGGAGGAAGGCGAGGGAGGGGAGTGAGGGGAGAGAGGAAGGAGAGGGGAGCGCTGCTGCTGCTGGTGGCGGGCACGAAGGATGGAGACATTGCGCAGCAGCACTGGCTCTTGTTCAGCTGCACCTGAGGATGCACCCCCGTGTGCCTGCTCTTCCCTCTCCTCTTCCGCTCCCTGCTGCTGCTCCTGCTCCTGCTGAGCCTGCTGCTGCTCCGATTCTGGTTGATCCGAGTGTAGCTGCTCCGACTGATGCTTCCCCAGCTGCTGCTGTTGGTTTTCCTCCTCCGCCTGCTTGCTTGCTTCTCCTGCCTGTGCCCCTGCCCGTGCCTGGACCATCCCCAGCGTGGATTCGTCTGCCCCCACTGCCCTTTCCTTCTTCAACCCTAATTCTTTTCTTTTCTCGTCCCCCTCTCCCACCGCACCCCCTCCTCCCCCCGCACCCTTTTCTCCCTCCGCCCCTCCCCCTCCCCCCATCCCCGCGCGCCCAGCGTCCGCGTCCGCTTCCCCGCGCCCCTGGCTCTCCTGCGCCTTGGCCAGCCGCATCTCCTCCCGCCGCCGCTGCCTCTGCTCCGCCCACAGCTGGTGCAGCCGCACCTGCTGCAGCGTGCGCTGCCGCTGCTCCTCCGCCAACGCATCCCCCCCATCCTCCCCCGCGCCCCCCTCCGCGCCCCCCTCCGCGCCCCCCGCGCCCAGCCGCGCTCTAGCAGCCGCGCTATTGAGCGCCCCGCGGGGCTCTGTAACGGACTTGCGCAGCACTCTCCTGGCGCTGGCGTTGGCATTCCCGCTGCTGCTGCTACTGCCGCCCGCTCCGCCTCCTGTCGCCTTCCCCTGTCCGCGGCCCCCCCCGCGCCCACGGGCCTGCAACCCTTCCGCCTGCCGTTGCTCTTCCCGCGGCTCCCCCTCCCCGCCCTGCCTCCCCTTGCCCTCCCCCAACACGTGCTCGCGCGCCCTGCCCCCCGCCCTCCCCCGCCCTCGCCCGCGCGCCTCAGCCCGTCCGCGGCCTTCCCCTCCCCTGCCGCCCTCCCCACGTCCTCGTCCCCGCCCCTCTCCCCGCCCTCTGCCCGCGCGGCCTTCCGCCTGCGCGCCCGGTTCCGCCGTGGCCCCCAGCGGCCGCGCGGATGGCGCAGTGTCAGGCTTGGCCCGACGGAGAGAGACGCTGCGCTGGAAACCTGCGCCCGCGCTCCTATCCGCAGCCCTACCAGGCGCACCGCCCTCCACCGCACTGCTTCCTGCATCCTCTCCCCGCGGCGGCGGCTGCCTCTGCTGCTGTTTGCGCAAGTCGCCCGTCGCAGCACCCCGCGCTATGTCGCCATCGTCGCCATCCGTCGTCGCCCGCTCAACCCCCTCAGACGCACCAGGCGCGCAACTCGCATGCGCGCGTCTCCCCGTGCGTGCAGTCGCCCGCGCCGCAGCCGGCGCAGCTTCAGCGGAATCAGCCGCGCTCGTCACGTCCGCGGCTGGCGGAGCCATCCCCGCGGACAGACTCCCCGCGTGCGCAAAGGTTCCCCCTGGCCGCGCGCTTTCTTTTCCCATGGAGGACGAGCCGTTTTGAACGAGCGGAGTAACCCCGCGCGCCTCTCGCGCCTCTCGCGCGTCTTTAATCTCTACACCTTCCGCTGCTGCATCTTGACTGGGTCGCCCATTCAACGTCGCTGCATCCCGCTGAAGGCCCTCGCGACACCCGGTGGGCGACGCTGTTACCTCATCTGGCGATAGTTTATTCGTCGCAATCCCGTTCGCAGGGGAAGAACGAAGCCGCGCGGCGGGGTTTCGTCCAGAAGCTTCCGCTTCCGCTTCCGCTTCCGCGATCTCTGAGACGCGCACGTCGATCCGCAAAGCAGCGCCACCATCAGCGCTAGCGATGGCGCTACCGCTACAGCTAGTACCGCTACCGCTGCCGCTACTACCAGCAGCGCACGCGCGTTCTTTGCGCTCTAACACGCAAGAAATGGCACCATCAGGTGAAGGTGGAGAGAGAGCAGCGGGACGGGGAGGCGGCGAGTCCAGCGGTTGCTGCTCCGGCCGTACCTCGCCGTTCAGACTGCCAGGCTCTGGCGCTTGAAAGGACGAAACAGCCGACACGGACACGGACGACACGGACGGCGAATCGGCGGGGTAGGGTGAAGAGTGGTGTGTCTTACTCCGCTGCGACGCGGTTCGAGAGAGTACGAGCCGGGGGGGCGCCCTCGGGGCGCCCTCCTCCCGTCGGGCTTCCACCACTCTCAACCGATAAATACCTGGCGGCTCTTTCTCCGGTGGCTCGGGTGTCGTCAGCCACTGTGTTACCTCCGCCATTACAGTCTCCTACAGTCCACTAAGTGGAACGAGGGCTAGACTCGATAAGAGCATTCGCGCTATAAGATGATAAGTGGCTACGACGACGTGACGCCCCGTACCAGGCGACAGAGCCACGTCGTCGCATCACGTCGCCTGGACGATCGTCTGCGAGGAGTCTTTTTTTCGCGCAAGCGCAATCCGAGGCGCAACAACAAAGGATCCTGTCTCACGAATCGCGACGATTAAGTCTCTATCCGTCGACCAAGAAACATGACGCTTCCGCCGACCATTGCGCCGCGCGCAGATAGGCTTCAAGACACCCGCGCGCAGATAGGCTTCAAGACCTCGTAAGTTACGAGTGAGGAAGTGAAGGGGTGGGGGTTGGAGGAAGGAGATAGAACGGGGGGTGGAAGTGGGGAGAGGGATGGATGAAAGGAGCTGTGTGGATTGACCTGGCCGTCCTAGGCGAGGCTCGAAAAAGGAAGCAGGTGCTGTACGCCAGCAATGGAGGCAAGGCAACGTAACGTAACGTCATCGCTAGCCATGCTTTGAGCATGTTGGTTTGGTGTGCTGCACATAACTGTGGTGGGAGAATGCGTGCTTCTGGTTGGTTGGAACTAGGAAGCAACGTGTCACACAGTGCAGGCACTGTACTGTACAGTATTTTCCAAGGCAGTGCAGCGGTGTCACGACTCACAAGGCCAACTGGGGAGAGAATTGCTCCAAACCCTTGTTTGGTGATTCGGCATTGCACACGTGGCCTCGAATTGCTCGCGTGGTCCTGAAATTGCACGATAATTGCTCGAGTGGTCTTGCCAGAGGATTCGCGCAGCTTTTTTTAACCTGGTACATTACCCTACAAGGGTATTTATTCTTAAAATATTTGCGTCGCACGAGTCTTATTCCGCGTATGAGAAATAATAAAATCCCTAGGGACCTGGACGCATTTTCGGGAGGGATCAACCCTAAACACGGGAAAGAGCAATGTTTTTAGGGTTGATGCCTCTCCGAGTCGCATCCCTTTCCGATTGGGTTTCATTTATGGGGGTCATGTGTAGGGATATATATGTAAATGCGCGGTCATATAGAGCCATCGCGCGACCAATCACGCGCGGACATATGGGTGCGCGATCATATATTGTTTCGCTCGGGCACACCCTACATGACCGAGAGTTTTTTTTAGGCATAATGATATGACCGCGCATTTACGTCGCTTACAATTTAACATTGGGGGATAAATACCCTAATCGGGTATTGTGCATGGGAAAAAAAAGTCAGTGGGAATCTCCTGGCAAAACCACTCGAGCAATTATCGTGCAATTTCAGGACCACGCGAGCAATTCGAGGCCACGTGTGCAATGTCGAATCACCAAACAAGGGTTTGGAGCAAATCTCTCCCAACTGGGACGCGATCAAAACTGACCACCGGCTGGCTCTTCTCCCATCTTCGAAGCAAAGGACATCTATCCTACCGTATCTCACTCAAAAACACCATGTATTCTAGTGTACATCACCCTCCTCAACTCTATAAAACAATGTCACAAATTGTGTTATGAGTTGTTGAAAGAATGCGCAAGTCAATAAAAAACGACTTTTCCTTACTTTGCGTCACACTACATACCGCGTACATGACAATTTATGCCACTTTACACCATACAGTAGCCAGTTACCACCTCGGGACACTCGCCTCGACACTGTTCCCACCACCACGACGCTCACGCCCAATCACCCGACTCGGGTGGTAACCCGCAACCTGGTCCTACGCCTCGAGAATCCCCAACCTCCACATCAGGCCCGTAGGGCACCCTTTTGCGAGCACGTTACCGTTGCCGAAACGCCTTCGCTAATTTACTTTTCGCTCAGGCCTTCGCTCATTGTATTGTTTGCTTCGATAGTACAATCTTCGTTCTTTTAGACAATTGCGTTTGTAACACTTGGTATTTAGAGCCACGACCATTTTTCGGACCGCGCACACATTCGCTTCCAAACTTATCACATTTTTTCGTGGGGGTAGACGTTCCTCATCACCTAGTGCCGCTACCCGTATGCTCTTTTGTAAGCACACATAGCCACGACGGAGACTGCCGCTGAGCCAGCCTGACGCCCCCGCCATGGACGCCATCGCCCTCATTCCGCCCGAGGGCCTGACTCAGGAACGCCTCGACGAAATCGCGCGCCAGCTGCACATATCCGCGCTCGAACTTGCCACTTTAACGGCGGAGTGCGACTCGTGTTAGCAGTCGATGGCAAATGCATCTGCACAATCAAACAGAAGCACCAATCACCATCACCTGGGGACACATTTCGCATCACGACACGACAGCGTAGAACTGCGCTCAGCCGCAGCCAGTGATGGCGCCACCCAACACATGCCGGGCATGGAGCAAACCTACGCCACGTTAGCATTGCGGCGACAATTGGCAGCAACGAAGTCGTCGAGCCAATGCCACTGAAGCCGCAGCGCCCGCTTAGTTTCGACACAAGCCAGCGTTGGGGTTCGACGGTTCAATCGTCGGTATTCACGATGAACGTGTTTTCTTTACGCGAATAATGTCACGTCGGATGCAGCGAAGATTCGGTACGCCATCTCTCTGCTGCATGGGCCATGAACTGATGGCGAGTCATCGTAGCCTCACTGAGAAATTACAAGCTACTACCGCAAAGGGAAAGGCCCTCGGGGCCGGCTGTTACCTAGAGCACTTCGTTATGCAAAGTCGCCCAACACCGCACGTGGGACGCGTGGTGCGCAGGGCTATGGGCGCGCTTCGAGGTGATCGCGGCCTCGACCTCAGCATGCCACAAGCTGCGCACTTGGCAACAGCTCGGGTCAGTTCAAGATTACTCTACGTCGGTTGCTTCAACAAAATCCTTGTGCTTGCCTAGAAGATCGACATTCAACGCCAACCGAGGCTGGGGTACTATCACTATGGACAACGTACTCAGGGAATGGCCGAACACACCACGGTATATGCCATTGCAAAGAATGTCACTGCTCCCCGTGCAATAGGCCGCGCCACCGCAAGAGCGAGTGCCCTTAGGAGTAAGAGCGCCGATGAGTAGAGCAGGGGAGAGAGTCCGGGAGGCACGAAAACGCCAGGAGTCAGAAAAGTACGGGCCCATTATTGACGAGACTCACTACGTGCCCGGCCCCACTGCCCCTCACCGAGTTACTGTACCGATTCATGTAATCGATCGGGCTCGGCTGAATAAGGAGCGTATATCGACAAATTGCCCAATATCGATTCATGGGAAAATACAAGGGACATCAATGAAGGTTTTAAAGACCCCATCTGTGAGGCGACTCGAAATCTTACGCCGACACCTGCAGAGGAGCATGCGTGGCGCTGATTCTGTTACGCTGGTGGGGAATGTTTGCCTTGTTCTAGAACCGTCTGAGACGAAGCCCCAAACCCAACTGGCAGGGGGATGTATCTAGAAGCGGTATAGTGGTAGAAATTCGTTTCGCAGGTGGACTGCCGACTATTTTACATGCATGCGTCCACGTGATGTTCATTTGGCCGGGTTTGCAATAAAAAGAGCTTCCATTATATACATTGTCATAAAAGCGAAGGAGTTTATATCTTAGAGTTAGAGCAAAATGGGTGGATTAGGTCAAAGGGGAGGGGTACAAGGAGAGTGTCGAGTGATTTTATGTACCCCCTAGCATGCAACTCACTATAGGCTATGTAATTCTATCATAACTTTGACACACCCCCATAGCCTAAGTGAGGGGCATTAAAACGACCAAGAGAAGCAGGTGGTCACAAGACCAGTCAAGAGAAGCAACAACACAAAGCTCAGGGTGGATCACAAGGTCACCACACAGTCTGAGCATAAGCAATCGGCCACAAGACTAGCTTAAGAGTTCACAAGTATATATATAAAGGCAAGTACAAACAGCAAGAAGCAAGCCTACAACAAATAAGGGCTTGCCCCAGCAAGACCTAACTGCAGACAGAACCTGTGTTGGTCACCAGACGGAAGGGCCTTGGTGAAGACGTCTGCAGTGTTGGCCGTTGAGGCCACAAAGTCCAAGCGTGCCTGTCTGCGTCGCCGCAGCTCTCGCACAAGGAAGTACCTCACGTTGATGTGCTTCACTCTGTTCTCCAGTCGAGGCTCTCGACTCAGGAGGATGATGGCCTTGTTGTCAGCGAACAAGGTCGGTGCAGAGCGTGGCCACTCAACAAGGTCTG